GGCCCGTGAGCTTTGTCACCACGCTTAACTCCAGCAACACCAGCTCGATAAGGAAGGCTCCCATTATTTACGGGGTCACTAAATCTAATATCTTTTTGGGAGGCGTTTCATTTTACGTACTGATCACCAGCCGTTGGCTTATATTTTCGGGAGCAAAGGTGGTATACCGCAAAGGCGGCGAGCGACTTCAGAGATGGGCGCTATCGCTCGATTTAAAATTGAATTTGTACGTTCGGCGGACACGGTCCGGCCGTCTTGTCGCATTACCACTCCCTCGAGGGTCGCTTCGAAAAATGTTTAGACTATTTGAATTTAAAGCGGATTCATTACCGATATCTTATAAGGATATAGCCAAAGAGACCGAACGAGATAAGCTGTTGAGCAAAATTAAAAATTATGTTGTATTCGGTTGGCCGTGTGGCCCGAGTTGCGATGAGGAAAAATATACTTTTCTAGAAAACAGATTTAAGTGTTGAACACGGGTGTGTTGTGTATAAATATAATCGTGTCCCTAAGTTGCAAAAACGCGTTTTAACTGAGATTCATGAAGGTCACCGATGAACAAAATGAAAAATTCTCGGGTTACGTCTACTGGCGAGCCTCGACCGCGACATCGAAAATACGTTCGGGAGTGCGTGCGTGCCGTTCTGTCCTGACCGCCACCCAGCACTCACCCGTGGGAGTTTCCCTTACACCCGTGGCAGCGACTTCATGCCGATTTTGCAGATTTGAGGGCAACGATATTTGATCGTTGTAGACGCGCATTCGAAGTGGATCGAAGTCGAAATAATGAATAATACCATGCTTCGTCTATATTAAGGTTTTAAGAGGTATTTTTGCAAGGTTCGGGTTACCATCGCAACTCGTGACGATAACGGTCCACCATTTTCGTCGTATGAATTTAAGATTTTTTGTGATAATAATTGTATAAGACACACGACATCGGCTCCCTATCGACCTCAAGGAAACGGGGCAGCGGAAATCCGTAAAAAGGTTAAGAAAGCTATTAAAAGGGCTGTATTTGAAAAAGGATGTGAACACCACTCACAAAATTTTTTTTAAATATAGGAATTGCGAACACGCCACCACAGGCGTCTGCCAGCTATGTCTTTGCAAGGGCGGCGTTTGCGGAGTCGTTTGGACGCTCTCACCAACCTCGCCGCAATCGTGCGCGAGGGCAGGAGAAGCAGATGGCGAGGGGCCCATTAGGTTCAAAAGAATTAAAAGTTGGGGATGAAATTCTTGCGCGAGATTATCGGGGAAAAGGCCTCAAGTGGAACCGAGGCATTATTTCTAAACAAACTGGGCCGGTTTCCTATAAAGTCGACATGGGTAACGGGGTCATTTGGCGAAGACATGCCGATCAATTAATTGCTTCGACAAAAAGATTTTCTCTATCGCGTTTAAGTTTACCGCCCGGTAAAGATCCTGATCTTGAGGTCGAAGAGGGCCGCGTGGCTGAGACGGGGAGGATGTAGCAGTGGGGATGAGCCTTGTCGTTAACATCTATCAGTCCCCACCAACGTGATCGAGCCTTCACCGTCGCAGGCGAACGAGGTAAAGTCCCCGGACATGTCCGCTCGAGCACTGCGTGCATTAAAGCGGGCGAACAAAGCCGTATAGTTTAGTATAGTTTAGTTTAGTTTCATAAGCTTGTTGAGGAGAAGTGGAATGTCGGTAGATTAGTAGTTAGTTCTTATTTAGTGTTAGTTTGTAGGTAGCTGTAACTTGTATGTAATAAACTGTTGTTCTATGGATCCCCGTTTAATTGACGTATCACTTTTCACCTTTCTATATTAGTATAGATTAAAAAAATATTGAAATTCGAAAAATATCCATTATTAATATAGATCCTATTTTACATAATACGTATTACTTTAGAGAAACTATTACCTGAGTCGCCGATAAAAGTACCATTTATTGTAACTTTCTAGTAATGACACTTATAGAATGTTGTCCCGGTCTACATTGGTCGTAGTCGACATTGTTACAGCTTTCACAGCTCATTAAAGTTTTATCTGACGTTGTGTATCCTGCAATTAAAGACTCTTGTTTTTATCATAATAATCTAGATTTTCTTTAATTGTAATAGAGTCTATTGAATGATTATAAACAACATTCTTTATCGATTCAATATTATAAATCATACACCGTTATTACAGAGCTGGATTTTAGGTCTACACTATACACAATTACTGTGTAATTGTACATAACTTAATTAAAACCAAAACTCACAATAAGATAAACAAAAAATTTCAATTTTAAACTTTCATCGGACTGAGCTTGTGCTCAGCATGGCTTAATAAGCGCTGATTTTCAGTCTCGCCCTTATCAGATAGCACAAACATTGTGGAAAAACTATGATGTCCAGTTTAATCGCGTTTCGGTTTCAGTGTGTGGATTTCCGAATATCCAATGCCAAAATAGTTCGATGTTTAGACTTGTTTAGATGTTATTAGGGGCGTTTCTGCTATCAAGTGACGCGCACGACAAAAAACACAACCGAGGATCGAATACCCGACTTCACAAACACAAAAATTCAAACCAATAAAACAACACTTCCCTATGTAATATTTATGCGATACAATATATCTTTGAATTAATCAATACTATACTGAGAAAACATAATGATCACATTACTTTGACGAGATCTATTTTTACAAAACGTGAAACAAAAAGCTACTTACAGTAACTTGTTTTCAACGAGACTATAGTTTACGCAGGTAATTTAAATAAAAATAAGAAAACATTGACGGATTAAAAGGGAAATATAAAGGGTTTTGACGAAAACGCTAAATCTAGGTTTGAGTTGGGACTATTTGTTTGTTATTTGTGTTAATAGTTATCATTAGTCAAGGTCGAAGTCAAAAATCATTTTCGTCGCCAAGTTTCATTTTACAGTCTTCACGTAGTTTACGTGCACTACATTTTTTTTTCTTGTTAGAGCAGGTTCGTCCAAACCATCTTTGTATTTATATACAGACTATTTAAATTTTTTATTAAATATATTGATTAATTAATATCTCTGTAATCAATAATCCACTTTTTAACTCCTGTTTTGTCCTGTACGGCGTTTCTTCATACCCTATAGCCTTCCTCGTTAAATGCGTTAGCCAACACAAACATTTTACTGAGATTAGGGAGTTCAAACAAACAAACTCTTCAGCTTTATATATTAGTATAGATCAGTTTCACTTATCGATGTTAACAACAAGATTTTGACCACATCCCACGTCCTGCCTGACAGAAAAATTGAATTGAAAATTGTACTTAGTATATACCGGGAATAGGACGCACGACCTATCGTGTTTTAGAACTGTTGTGCATAGGAGGTAGCCAAAGATTTGGCATACCTAACCCTATAAGAAATATAGCAGTAATTCTTGTTCGAATATACGCTATCCATCACTCAAATATGTAAATTTAATTAAGGTAATTGGTATGCACCAATTCATTAATTTAAAATCGTTCTTGCATATGCATGTCACTGTTGACTACATGATTCATGACAGTCGGAAATGATATACTATATCAAAATTATCTGCGAACAACATATTATATGTGTCGTAATTTCCTTTCGAAAATGTAACGAAAAATAATTTATTGTGAGAGAATTGGAAGTGAGCTTCCGACGAAATTGGATCATTTGCACTTTTACTTTGTAATTTTATTCTTTTTTTATGTCATTGCAAAAAGTATTAAATAAATCTATTTTTAACGGTTTTACAAAAAAAGAACCTCGAAGGTGTTCAAGGCAAGAGGAACTATAACAGGGTTGATCAATACTGCATGTAACTAACTGTATTGATTTCTTGAAAAATCGGCAAAGTTAGAGTTATACTAGTTCAAGGAGGGTTCAGTACTAGGGTCATTAACAAAATTAATATTGTTACCTTTGTTATCATTTATCGATATCTACGAAAAGGCAAAAAACGGGAAAAAAACATTTTTTATTATTTACTAAAAAGTAAGACTGTAACTCAGTTTTTTTTTATTTAAAGTACCTGTGTTGCCATAATAGCCCGTAATCATCAAATGTTCTAAAGCGAAGTCGAAAAGACATGACAGCTTGACCGATTTTGATGAAATTTTTTGTGCTCATCCGGTATCTATGAGAATCGGCCAACATCTATTTTTTATCCCCCTAAATGTTAGGGGTAGTCCATCCCTATATATTTTTTTATGTTTTAGACAACATTTTTAATTTCTATTTTTTTTATGATACAACACACAAAAATACTTACAATCCTCAATTTTCACCCTTCTACGATCAACCCTTATTTTTATATGGCAAAACAACGTTTACCGGGTCAGCTAGTAATTTGTAAAATTTTCAACTCTATATATTTTTAAAGTACAGGCTTGTGACAGACACAGTAAAGTGTTATTTATAGCGTTCTTTTTTACATTATGCGCACGAAGCCTAAAATTACTATGAAATCAAATTCCATTTTAAGATAATAACTTTAATAGTACTTTGCAGAAAGTGTTTCCTTCCTAGGAAATAACTTTGCATAATCATGCAGTTATTACAATCTATCATATGGAACTAATATGAATTAATAGGTGCATTCACTTGATTCCTTAAAATATCGTAGATAATGTACGGAAACTGTCAATTGATGAACAATTAATAACACTAGATAGAATTATTATAAATACATATATCGTATAAAAGTTACCGACATTAAGAAACATAGTACTAAAAAAAAATATTATAATTAAAAATCGATTACAAATTCGAAAAAATTACGACTTCGTCAGGACTTTAACCGGACACAGACTTCCGTGCTGTTGCTCTAACCAATCGATTTCATTCAACCTCTCTCTCGCGCAATGTAATTTCAACCCTAACATTTGCACATTAAGGTTCAACGTCTGCACGGAACGCTGTGGATGCCGTTTGAGTCCCGCCAGAGACGTATTTTTTTTTGTACTTTTAAATTTTTTTTCTATTTATATAGTGCAATAACATTTGAAAAAAAAATTTTTTTTTTCAGGAACAGTAGAAGCGGTTCCGCCCTACAGGATGCCGCCCGCCCCAGAGGCTGCGCTACCTGGCGCGCCAGCACCTCAACTACCAGCAGCTATTCACACACATTCTGCTAAATTTCCCGTGAGTAAAATTATATTATGACGCCATAATTCCCATTTCAATTGTATATATAACCAAAAAATAGTAGGAAAAGGGATTTATGCCGCTTCCCCTTTGCAAAGACATGAGGCAAACGCATATCTGTGGCTATTTCCTGTTCAGTAAGATATAGCCGACATTGACCAAAGTATTCCCTACCAAATTGACACCTATCATCTTAATACAAGCTAGACAATATATTCTACAATAGCCACAGAGACGAAGTCAGTATAATACTAACAGTTAAATATTGTCTATAGTTTACGCGAGTAGTACACATTTAAATAAAATACTGTAACGGTTTAAAGCACGATATATTAGTTAAACTTATTCGAAAATGATTCTTAACTTCGGCCCGACGCTTCGGACGTTTCGGATGCTTTGCAGCAGCCGTACTTCTTCAAAGAAGTATTGGTTTAATTATATTTAATTGCTGCGTAATGATGTATGTTTGTCACCTGCTATTGGAATAATAATACCTTTCGCCTTCATAACTTGATTACCGATCCGTGGTGTCATTATAGACGCGGGGACAAGCTTGACTGACTGCATACTATGAGGTCAATGCCTTTTTTATTTATATCTAGGATTCTTTAGTTGCCAGGACGTTAATAACCTTTAAACGGGATAGTAGGGAAAAGGAATTGTATGTCAAATGTAAATATACATTCCTATACTACTAACGGGTGTTTGTACAATTTACTAGCTGTGTCAGCGACTTCGTCCGCGTATAATAGTTACTATGACTATCAAAATTGATCCACCCAAGTTAATCTTAAAAGATAGACATACTTTCGCGAACATTTTTAAAGATCATATAAAGATAAATAATTGTTTTATACATATTTTTTGGGTATCTTTAGGTCTCACACACGTATGGAGAAAGATTAACCAACCTCATTCAGAATGGTTTGTATTAAACTCCCTACTCAAAAATCAATCTAACTAATCGCCTCCTCGGAATTCAATTCCCCCTTACGCTCATCGTCCCCGCTTACGTCTCTCCGTCCCCGCTTGCGTCCTCCTGCACCAGCGGGCGACGAGGCGTAAGCGCGGTTCACCTAGCCGAGTTGACGTACAGGCGCTCTGATACGGTTACTACTGCTACGTAGGTGAGCCTGTTGACGGCTAGGCAAAGCTTACGTTACATCCCTTTCCATCCTATGTGTGCTGAGACCCTGAACCGTTTTCGCTGCGTACGCACCTGAAACCCTCAAAAATAAATGCTCCCCTTTTTTCTCACATTTCCCGCTTGTTCTTCGCTCCTATTAGTTACAGCGATGTTTTATAGCCTATAACTTACCTCGATATATGCTCTAACCAACACAAAAAGAATGTTTTCATACGAACCAGTAGTTCCTGAGATTAGCGCGTTCAAACAAACAAACTCTTTAAATATAAGTATAGATAGGTGAAAATTATCTACACCTTCAAATATCATTTTAAATTCTTTATATTAAAAACATCTCTTAAATAATTTCCTCTCCTGATTTATTTATTTCTTCATTTTTCGAAGATTACCTGGGAATAATATATCTATTATTCAAAATAACCAAGAGATCTCACTTGATGGCTTTCAGGTCAAAACTGAAAATTAACCTAAAATCCATTGTTACGACCTTATGAATATTGGACTTCACAAATGGTTCAGTACCAATTATATAATTAGATTTTTTTTATGGGTTGATGGGTTATTCCATCTTCCGAAAAAGCCGCGGACACATAGAGTGTCTGTATATATCAGAATTCATGAGATAGCTTGGCATCACTCGGACAGTGAAGTACAGAACCCCCAAAATAACTTTTTGGAATTACCGTACCTCAGGTTGCGAATTATGCTTTCTATATAGATAATTATCCCACGATTGGTTCACTTGCCTCGGTCATCAATCATCACAACATGGTACTGTTATACAAATTTGTTCTCAATTATGACTCAAACCTATATTGGCATTTTCGCCTGCGTCGCCACTTACGCCTTGTAACTTAAAAGCAAGAATCAATCTATACTATATATAACAATCTATGCTAAAGTGTTTGTTTATTTGTTTAAACACGCTAATCTTATAAAGCACTGGTTCGAATTGAAAAGTTCTAAACAAATAGTAAAAACCCTTATGGGTTTCACCTTTGTGGGTTTCTTTTGAGTGCGTAGCGAAAGCGAATCAAGATACCCAAAAAATATCTATAAAAGAATGATTCCTCCTTAAACGGTCTAAAAAAATTTTCGCGACAATATTTCCTTTTAAGATTAACTGAAGAGAACGTCAGGCCGCGGATGATCGACCTGTGAAACGGATCCAGAAATGTGTTCGCCCCATGGGGAGCAACTGGGGCACTGAAATTTTTCATTTGTTATTGCATTAAACTTTAATGTGAATTACATTCGTTAATTCGATTTTTTAAACACGTGGTAACGAAAAACAGATGACGTTATTTTTAAACCGAATATTCGGCTCGGAACATTCTACATTAAATTAACGGTACACGAATGAAAGATAATAAAGAGCTCATTAACAGCATCATTTAGATTTTAATCTGTAACTCTGAGAATTAAACATAGATTGCTTAATTAAATCTTTTACCTGCTTCATTATTTTTCATATACATATATTTATCTCACATTTTGTTACTGCCTGGCCAGGTATGAGCGGGACTCCTGAACAGGAATCGCGAGAAAACATGATAAATTGTACCTACCATACCTGTAGGTCTACTTGAGAAGACGCATTTTAGTAGACAACGCCGGCATTTTAAGCCGATAAAAGTGTTTTATTCAACATGATAAATGAATGATGAACTTGAACGGTTCTAAACGCGATATTTAGTTAAGTTTATTTGAAAATTATTTTAACTACGGCCCGACGTTTCGATGCTTCGCAGCAGCCGTGGTCACGGGGAGACCACGTGTTTTAAGCCGTTAAAGTGTTTTATTTAAATGAGTTCTACTCGTGTAAGCTACAAACACTATCAAAGTGTTTTGGTCTGATAAAGCTAAGAAAAAGTTCGTGAAACGGACACAAAATGTGTATACTCCGTGCCCCCGAGCTTAACGGCATGTTACATTCAATATTAACACCAATATTTATGGAATAGAGTTCAATGTTCACTATCGCTTAGTGCGTTTCTCTAGGCTTATGTGAATAGGTTTTTGTAAAGTAATGTTTCTGCAGATTTCTATATAGTGAAAGTACGCATTGTGACTATATTTATCGGCTCGTAGTGACGTGTTAGGTTACAAAAATATTTATATAATATACATGTAATACATGTGTACGTTACTATGTCGTGAAAGTTCTAAAGCTCAGTGAGTTAAGTGATGACAAAATATAACGTTTAAATCATAACTATCCAAAAATATTACACCTGGTTTTAATTGCGTATGTATTATTTTGACGTAGGTACGTATGATAAACAACATTTTAATATGGGTTATATTATATATAGGTTCAAAAATTTAATCGTATAACATTCATCCAAAGTTACACCTATATAATTTAAAAATCGAAAATAAATTGAAAAAATTTTCGACTCGGGCAGGACTTGAACCGGCATCGTCAGCTTTCCGTGCTGTTGCTCTACCAATTGAGCTACCGAGTCCTACACCTCATCGTCGAATTTTTTCAACTTATTGATACATGCACCTCTCCCAATGTAATTTCTACCTTAACACTTGCGTATTAAGGCTCAATGTCTTATGCTTTGCAGCTTAAGAAATCATTGAAGATGAAATTACAAAGTTATAACGTTTGAAAACATTAATATTTTTCACATGTTATTGCACATGAAGGCACTATATAATTTAAAAATCGAAAATAAATTGAAAAAATTTTCGACTCGGGCAGGACTTGAACCGGCATCGTCAGCTTTCCGTGCTGTTGCTCTACCAATTGAGCTACCGAGTCCTACACCTCATCGTCGAATTTTTTCAACTTATTGATACATGCACCTCTCCGCAATGTAATTTCTACCTTAACACTGCGTATTAAGGCTCAATGTCTTATGCTTTGCAGCTCAAGAAATATTGAAGATGAAATTACAAAGTTATAACGTTTGAAAACATTAATATTTTTCACATGTTATTGCACATGAAGGCACTATATAATTTAAAAATCGAAAATAAATTGAAAAAATTTTCGACTCGGGCAGGACTTGAACCGGCATCGTCAGCTTTCCGTGCTGTTGCTCTACCAATTGAGCTACCGAGTCCTACACCTCATCGTCGAATTTTTTCAACTTATTGATACATGCACCTCTCGCGCAATGTAATTTCTACCTTAACACTTGCGTATTAAGGCTCAATGTCTTATGCTTTGCAGCTTAAGAAATCATTGAAGATGAAATTACAAAGTTATAACGTTTGAAAACATTAATATTTTTCACATGTTATTGCACATGAAGGCACTATATAATTTAAAAATCGAAAATAAATTGAAAAAATTTTCGACTCGGGCAGGACTTGAACCGGCATCGTCAGCTTTCCGTGCTGTTGCTCTACCAATTGAGCTACCGAGTCCTACACCTCATCGTCGAATTTTTTCAACTTATTGTTACATGCACCTCTCGCGCAATGTAATTTCTACCTTAACACTTGCGTATTAAGGCTCAATGTCTTATGCTTTGCAGCTTAAGAAATCATTGAAGATGAAATTACAAAGTTATAACGTTTGAAAACATTAATATTTTTCACATGTTATTGCACATGAAGGCACTATATAATTTAAAAATCGAAAATAAATTGAAAAAATTTTCGACTCGGGCAGGACTTGAACCGGATCGTCAGCTTTCCGTGCTGTTGCTCTACCAATTGATCTACCGAGTCCTACACCTCATCGTCGAATTTTTTCAACTTATTGATACATGCACCTCTCGCGCAATGTAATTTCTACCTTAACACTTGCGTATTAAGGCTCAATGTCTTATGCTTTGCAGCTTAAGAAATCATTGAAGATGAAATTACAAAGTTATAACGTTTGAAAACATAAATATTTTTCACATGTTATTGCACAGAAGGCACTATATAACACATTATATACACGTTATAACTTTGTAATTTCATCTTCAATGATTTCTTAAGCTGCAAACATAAGACATTGAGCCTTAATACGCAAGTGTTAAGGTAGAAATTACATTGCGCGAAAGGTGCATGTATCAATAAGTTGAAAAATTTTCGACGATGAGGTGTAGACTCGGTAGCTCAATTGGTAGAGCAACAGCACGGAAAGCTGACGATGCCGGTTCAAGTCCCCGCCCGAAGTCGAAAATTTTTTCAATTTATTTTCGATTTTTAAATTATATAGTGCCTTCATGTGCAATAACATGTGAAAAATATTAATGTTTTCAAACGTTATAACTTTGTAATTTCATCTTCAATGATTTCTTAAGCTGCAAAGCATAAGACATTGAGCCTTAATACGCAAATGTTAAGGTAGAAATTACATTGCGCGAGAGGTGCATGTATCAATAAGTTGAAAAAATTCGACGATGAGGTGTAGGACTCGGTAGCTCAATTGGTAGAGCAACAGCACGGAACGCTGACGATGCCGGTTCAAGTCCTGCCCGAGTCGAAAATTTTTTCAATTTATTTTCGATTTTTAAATTATATAGTGCCTTCATGTGCAATAAATGTGAAAAATATTAATGTTTTCAAACGTTATAACTTTGTAATTTCATCTTCAATGATTTCTTAAGCTGCAAAGCATAAGACATTGAGCCTTAATACGCAAGTGTTAAGGTAGAAATTACATTGCGCGAGAGGTGCATGTATCAATAAGTTGAAAAAATCCGACGATGAGTGTAGGACTCGGTACTCAATTGTAGAGAACAGCACAAACTGACGATGCGGTTCAAGTCCTGCCCGAGTCGAAAATTTTTTCAATTTATTTTGATTAAATTATATAGTGCCTTCATGTGCAATAACATGTGAAAAATATTAATGTTTTCAAACGTTATAACTTTGTAATTTCATCAATATTTCTTAAGCTGCAAAGCATAAGACATTGAGCCTTAATACGCAAGTGTTAAGGTAGAAATTACATTGCGCGAGAGGTGCATGTATCAATAAGTTGAAAAAATTCGACATGAGGTGTAGGATCGGTACTCAATTGGTAGAGAACAGCACGGAAAGCTGACATGCCGGTCAACCTGCCCGAGTCGAAAATTTTTTCAATTTATTTTCGATTTTTAAATTATATAGTGCCTTCATGTGCAAAAACATGTGAAAAATATTAATGTTTTCAAACGTTATAACTTTGTAATTTATCTTCAATGATTTCTTAAGCTGCAAACAAAACATTGACCTTAATACGCAAGTGTTAAGGTAGAAATTACATTGCGCGAGAGGTGCATGTATCAATAAGTTGAAAAAATTCGACATGAGGTGTAGGACTCGGTAGCTCAATTGGTAGAGCAACAGCACGGAAAGCTGACGATGCCGGTTCAAGTCCTGCCCGAGTCGAAAATTTTTTCAATTTATTTTCGATTTTTAAATTATATAGTGCCTTCATGTGCAAAACATGTGAAAAATATTAATTTTCTTTTTTTTTTTTTTTTTTTATTAATTTAGTAGAAATTACATTGCCGAGAGGTGCATGTATCAATAAGTTGAAAAAAATGGGGGGGGGGGGGGGGGGGGGGGGTGTTTTTTTTTTTGGGGGGGGGGGGGGGGGGGGGGGGGGGGGGGGTTTTTTTTTTTGCGGGGGGTTTTTTTTTTTTTTTTTTTTTTTTTTTTTTTTTTTTTTTTTTTTTTTTTTTTTTTTTTTTTTTTTTTTTTTTTTTTTTTGTTTTCAAAAGTTACACCTACAAAATTATCACCGCATTTATACTCTAAGTCAAATTATACTGTATTAATGTTGTTAATATCGAAATAGTTGAAAAATATGTATGAAATAATGATTCCTTTTTTAAATCATCTAAAACAGTCCACGATGTTATATATCTATCTTTTAAGATTAACTTGTAAGAACGACGGGAAGGGACGCGACCGACGTCGTGGGTAACAGCTTAAGTTTATAATGATGAAGGAGTTTGCAAAAACAAATTTTAATGGCTAAAGTTGCTTTTGCAAAAACTATTCTACGCGAACGAAGTCGTTGGCACAGCTACTACGATAGAATACAAGATAATATCTAAAACTATATGTTAATGTAGTAGATCCAAATCATTTATCTTATAACCGACAAGACCACAAACCTGTTACAGATAGAGCGCGAAGTGATTCTGTCGTCTGGCGATAAGAATTCCAAAGTACCGATTCTACAGGAGGCCAGGAAACGGGGCAGACTCGGGGCAGTTGCACCAGACACGCCCCCCAAACCGCTGTCAGCTTGGACCAATGCTGAGGTATGTTATCATACTCAAAACTTTTGTTCGACAAGGCTTACAAACAATGAGTTACAATGCTCAAAATAAGAATACTTCGCCTTAAATACATTACGGATAAAACGATTTTAGTTGTCGTGTTAATAAATATGCCCGTTTAATAATTTTACGTAGGTATATAGGATTTTCAAGAAAACATTGGCGTCCGAAAATGCTTTTATTAAAGGCTAAGGCTAATAAACATATATGACATATTATTGTTGTTATAGTGAGAACCTTTTAAACAATATAAAAAATAATAATGCAGAATAAACTAAATTATGTCTCGCCTTATTATATATATATTTTTTATATTTATAATTTATTTATTATAATTAAATACTTATGACTTATTAACTTATAAAAACTAAGGTAGTTTTACATCTAAGAGCAAAACCAATTGTGTGTTAGTGTATTGTTAAAAAAAGGCAAGGAATACCCCTTTGTCCAATTCCCCCCCCTTTCAACCAATTATAATTGTCAATTAGTACCTATTCGCTTATTATTATATGTTACGATAATATTATACATTCATTATATATACATAAATAGTGAAATTTATTCCTTGCGTAAAGATATTACTTAAACATTTTAACTTTTTTAATGTATTGTTTGGGCACGTAAATTTATAATGATCACAATAAATCTTAGTTTACGCGAATTGTACACATTTAAATAAAACACTTTTTACTGTTTAAAACGGGATATATATATATATATATATATATATATCAGGTAACCTGTGACCACGGCTTCTGCAAAGTATCCGAAACGTCGGGCCGTAGTTAAAATAATTTTCAAATAAGTTTAACTGATATATGCCGCGTTTTAAACCGTTAAAGTGTTTTATTTAAATAATGGCATTTATGTCTTGGCGAAATTATCTGTGTAAAGTCCATTCACACGAAAGCAATAAAACAGCAGTCAGTTTGAATTCACGACACCCGGATGTACTTTACGGTTAATCTTATTTAACTATAGAGTTACTATATATAATATGTGGTTAGTGATATGTTATGTCCGTCAGAGCCTTCCTGCTTAAGAAGCATAACGACAGACCAGGCATAAATATTCCGTTCCTTGCCCTTAGCATCGGCCTTATGTTACAATTAGGTACAGTTGAATCCGTTTATAATGACATCGAAAGGGATTGACAGAGACGTCATAATAAGTCATACAATAGTTCAATTACTCACTTTTAATGGTTTTTAAACGCCAAAAAATTCATATTTTATGTAGTGTTATTTTTATACAAAATTTATTTAATAGATATGTCACCAATATTTTAAAAGTTTGAGTAGCCATTATAAGACGAATGTGATATATACTGAAAATGTGGAGTTCAATGGGCGGCCTCATTGCTAGCCAGCGATCTCTATTGGGCAACAAGTGCAAGGTGGACGAAACAAAATATACAATGTCAAAAATATCAAAACAAAACTTATACACAATTACTAAACTTGGGGAAGCTAAGCCGAAATAAGAATGAATACAGAAGAAATCGAATATCAAGTTAACAATTTTATTCAGATGGATAATTAATAAGCATTATACATGGATATGAGGTCACTAGAGGCAGAGTAGCCTAACTGCAATTTTATGACTTGACTTATTCATATTTTTATAACCTACGAGAGAACAGTGACAAAAAATTATTAACACAATTCTAACACAAATAATAAAAAAATTACGTCAAAATTAATTTCCCATGTTTTTTACTAGGCCATCCTGCCTCTAGCAGCCTCATACATACTGTAGTCTTATTTTTAGTTTAGTAATATAATACTCAATACTACGACAACAGCTTATAAAAATTCAATCCACGAATGACTCGGCGCACGTTCAACCACGAGTTGACTATTTCGGACAATAATATTTCAGTGACTTTATAAGTTAGGCCACTACTTACATTACTTATAAGGGAAACTCTTGCCCTTAAATAGACTGCCTCTGTAGTCAAATGGTTAAACTTCTTGCCTATCATTGCGTTTAACGCGAGAGGTCTTATGTTCGAATCCCAGGGAAACTATAGATTGTTTCTGTCTGTTCGAATGTCTGATTAACTACTATAAATATAACCGATCAGTGAAACGGACACAGAAATGTGTTCGCGCCACGCAAGGTGAAACGGGTTTGCACTTCTCTTGTTCTTAAACGTTCTTGAGGTTACGTACGCGATTTAAGCTATACCTAATACTAAAAAATACAATCTTAACAAAATTGGTTTACATATTTAATGTTTGGTGTACGACTACCAGACGAACTTAGGTAGTCTAAATTTTAATGGAAGTAGTATAAGTATGCCGAAAAAGCACTAAGACCAATACAATTCTCTATTTATAATTTAACTGTAATTTAGTATGTTAGTAAAAACCCAAGTTTTAATAGCTAAAATATCACAGTACAAGTGAAAGTAGAGATCAAATTTGTGTCGTATCGAATGTAAAATTTTGTGCGTGATTGATGGCTCAATTTTGTTGGATTGTTAAATCTTCCGCTAGTTCTTAGTATTTTAAGTGTGTTTTATTAGATAAAATACTAAAATTTATAAGAAACTCAAAACTTTTTCAATAGGGAAATTATTTATCCTTAATTTTATTAGTGGTTGTGATACAATACAATTGTAATATAAGCGTGGTTCTATGTATGGCTTAGTGTTGGATTAAGCTTGAGAGGTCATATGTTTGATAAACTAATTGCCTATTAATAAATCGACCTCACAGACACAGTAATTTGCCCCACAAGGGGAAATCAAATATCAATATCACACAGCTTAAATTATTAACTTACAATATTTGAAAACTTAAATGGTTTTCACATGTTATTACACATCATGGCAAAAAAATTACGATACTGTAGCTTAATTGTTCAGAGGAACAGCACAAGTTCAGGTCCTTCCCGTGACGTATTTTTTTTATTAGAATGATTTTTTGTACTACCTAACTATACTGTTCTTTAAATTTATAATCATTGGTTGACTTTGCTTTGTTAAATAAAGTTTAGTTATTGAACAAAGCAAAGTCAAAACTTCTTTCATTAGAACTAGACCATTATCTTTTATGAGTCGAGCCGGAAAATTAAAAGCATATTCACCGTAACAAAGCGGCACACAAAGGTAGTACAGTGTCGCGAGGTGGCATGCGCGGGCGCATCCGGGCCCCTTCACGATTACCTTTTCTCAGAAATATTCAATAATCACGATTCGTTATCGTATGAATTTTAAAATCCTTTGTTTTGTTTTTCATTGTGGTTATTATAAAGTTGCCACATTGTGTTTGTGATAAATAAATAAAAGTGACATACCCACTGAAGTGTTACTTAAAATGTAAAAAATAAAGTGTTTAAATCTACGGCAAGATGGTTGAATTCGCTTTGGAAAATGTACGTACTTATCTTAAATAAATAATAAATTTAAAAAAGTGTCCAATCTCGTTTCCCCATTGTGGGGCATGGGACCAAATCAATTATGTTTCATAGATCTACTTTATTACATGTAGCTAGTCTTTGCTTTACCTGACTACAACTACAATGCTTTACCGCGATTCGAAGCTAGGACGCGGTAAATCAATGTTTAAATCCAAATTCATGCATTAACTTTAGATTAAAACTATTGTAATATTGAATTATTATTGCTTGCATAATATATTTATATAAAATATATCTGTATATTAAAGAAAGAATTTGAAATTTTTTATAAACAGTAATACGTACGATCAAACGAGACTTCAAATGACCTCTTGCTTCACACAGCTTTGTTCTTACTTTCCCACAATCCTACATTGTCTGATTAACGTATCTTTCACCTGCTATAATAATTATAGTACAGGGTTTGATTCTCATCGCACACAATACGAAACATTAACATGGGTTGCACAATAAAGTTGAACAAAGCTGAGATTTTTCTAATATTCGTTAAATAAAATCTTGTCGTTTTAAGGGAACAATTACTTATATTGTAATGAACAATGTAATAAAAACACTAGTAGAAACTCATTGTTACGTAGGTTTTAAATTTCATAGTATGTATTTTTATTCTTTCGAAAATTTTGCTTTTATTGATACGACAAAAATTATTAACCTCCGCCATGACAATTGACAGGATTTTCCATCCTTTCCCCTTATTATGATTTCCCGGGACGCAAACCAAGCTAATTGAAAAAATAAGCAGGAATCGGTAACTAAATTGGAAAGCACGTGTTGCTGTGGATGCCAGTTTTAGTCCCTCGCGGAACGCAATTTTGGAATTTTACATATAGTATTAAAGACCTTGGATTATATCGTTTAGACAAAATATCCAATAACCAATTAATTGTTTTATTTACAGAATCAAGCTGGAACCTCTGGCGACTTCCGGCAGTACCACGACCAGTACGCCTACCACCACCACGGACAAATCTTAAACCGCAGCGTACAAAACTACGATTCACCCAAACCACCAATACCTGCCAAAAATACACCGAATAACTCACACATGGTAACAGTTGTCGAGACAGCAAAGGACAGTACCAGAGACGCACCAAAGAGTGCTAAATCTGTCAGCAAAACATATCACACATTAAAAGACATGATATCCAGTAGATTCAAAGGCAAAGAGAGTACTGAAGGTGATAAGGAAGAAAGTCTTAATAATAATGAAGAAAGAAAGCGTGAACCGGAACAAACGCCTCCAAGAGAAGCACGTAAAGAAGGGATTTATGGAAGACCAATGCAGAGACAGGAAATCCAGTACAACCATGGAATGACAAATAACATGGCATATTCAAGTCCGTCTCCACATAGGTATGTACTAAGAATTCTTTTTCCATACATATTAGGTACAAAATTATTCTTACGAGTCAGAGAATGAAGAACTTATAATTTTATGTTCAGATATGTATACATTTCAATTTGTATAACGTTTAATTCTGGTCGGGTATTATACAAAGATACTTCAGGATTGTGCTTTACACCGATAGAACATATTTAATACAACACTGATAAATTTTTGGAAGGCAAAAAGCATAACATATTTTAAAAACGTTAATTTGAATTATTTCCTTCAAATTTCTTTGAAACCATTTCGTTCAGTTATTACATAATATTGTCTTCTCCTTTAAAATGTTTTGTTAGATCTAAATTTGTCTAATATTACATTTAAATAATTATTTAAATGAATACTTTCCTGGCCGAACGCGAAGGCTTAGCCAAATATATTCTGGCTGTTGTTTGATGCTAGTTATAAAACCACAAGCCATTAATATTATTTTAGAATTTGATTATATGTCATTTATATGGTATAAGTAACATAAATTTACTGAATTATAGTAAGAGACGTACTTATGATCATTTTCCATTAAAAAGTATGTTAAGTAACATGTATTGTAACGGTTCAATACAGTTGTAACCTGGATATCGACTTATGGCATTGACAATAGAGGTTTTTTACAGACAATTAATGCAGCAACAAATAGCTCAACAGCAGATGTTAAATCAACAAGCACGGTCGCAGGAAATGTTAAATCAACAAGCGAGATCACAGGAGATGCTGCAACATAGACCTCAGGCATTGGGTGCTGATGCGTTGTATCAACAGTATGGTCCACCAGGACGTAGGAGTGCGATGTATCAACGAGACCTTGATGTTAGGTCTATGGCGAATTTCACCTCGTTGAAGACAGGACCACAGCCTCAGGTGATTAGAAGCTTAATATACTCGATTTCAATAGAAGTCAGCAAATTATGTTGCAAATAAATAATAGCAATAAACAAAGAGAAAAAATTTCATAACCTAACACACATACTATTTTTGACAGAAAAGTAAATTTGTCTTATGTATCTTGTTATTTTAATCCATAAAATAATCTTATTTATAAGCCCTCTTACTTTGCATTAATTGAGAAGAAAAATTATAATGTTTGCTATTTTCCTGTACATTACAAAATATAAAAATAACAAGCAAAAGAACAGTATTGATTATTATAAAAAAGGAACACTTGTATAACATATACTGAAAAATTCTGCAACTCTTTTATGGAATACCAAATAAGATCTCATGTTCTCCTACGTATCAAATAAGGAAATGTTTTATGTAAAATTGTATGGGCCTTAGTAACTGTACTCACGTTACTTCATGTCTCAATAGACCATAAAACGAAAGCTCTTCAAATCAACGACCAATTCCTCTCTCCATATTCCAGTTATCGTGTCTCCTACCGGCAATAAAACGTAATTGGCTACGCTGTTCTCGATGTAACGCGAATGTTTTTTACAGATTGACAACTCACATTCTAGACCTGACTTGAGAAGTCCACAGCAACTGGAGCGAGAGGTTATTCAACAACGACGGCTCATTGAAGTCAGACGTGCCTCTTCGCATCCGCATTTATTAGATGAGCCACAGAGACCGGATCCAAAGCCTCAAGTGTACGATAGGTCTAGGAGAAATTCTCACGGCAATTTACTCGAAGGTGTGCCAAATGAGAACGGTCTACCCAGAAGCGATGAAAGGGAGTCTGATGACGGCGGTTTCAGAATGAGACCAGCTGCGCAAGGAAGATCAAGCTTCGAACACATTCGCACAAGTGGACGTTCTGTGGATTCAAGACAAATCCCGGAAGAGTACAGACGTACACCGGATAGCCACAGAGAATCCCGTCGGACTCCGGATTCAGTTAATCAAAGACAAAAAGAGAGTACACCTAATCCAGCCGAGAACGAAAGAAATGATGAAAACGCTAGTCAGAAATCAGCAGACAGTGTATACAACTCAAATAAAGTGGACGGATATAATCCACGGGCGTCTTCATCTAGACAGACGCCGAGTAGAATAGAAGATCTAAAGGCACATGGTAAAAAAGGGGCTGGTGGTTCAGCAGCTAGTTCAGGTTTGCTGATATTCCCAGTTAAAGAAAAATACATACAGTTTTCTCCTATTTACTACAATATCTTACTAATCTTAATCAATATTATTGTGTTTGTCATCATCATATCTATCTGTTTAAGTAGACATTAATACTTTCTCTTCCTATTTAATTGGCATATGTTTGGATTTTTTCTGATTGTTTGTTACATATAAATGAATGAACTTGTTAATTACAGACTATGACAAAAATGGCGGTCAATCGTCGAACGTTGATTCTGGTAGGGGCAGCGTGGCTTATTCGAGTGGGAGGCGCGCGGATGCAAGCTTGCATGATACTTCGGCGGACTCTGATGCTGCAGGAGCAAGAGAAACAAGACAACAGCCACAGCCTGGGACTAGTCAACAGAGTTCAGCACCACGTAAGCTTATACAACTGAAGATATTTTAAATGGAAGAAAAATTATAGCTTTAAGTTAATTATCTATTTTATTATTATGTATCATAAACTAGCAAAGCATCAGTGCGGCAAAAAGACAAATGACGAAAAAAATAACTGTATTTTTGCAGCTGGAGAAAATGAATGGGCTGATCTGGTCGAGTGCGAACTGCGTCAAATCCTTGAGCCAAAGCTGGCTAATATGAGACTAGACAGCTCAGATAGCTCCGATAGCTCAATAACGCCTCCCTTACCCCCAATTTCACCTTCATCTGACTTGCACAAGAGAAACAGGTACGTATCTTACAAAATTTTCTTGCAATTATAGTTTTAAAGTTATTCCAATTATGTAGACGGAGAACAAAGAAGTGTTCAATAAATAACAAGTAACGCATTGCAGAATTTTGGTAATATCAAAAAAAGTTAAATTCCGCCTCCCGTCCACCTTCCGCATGCCTTGAGGCATGGGGTGAACACATTTCTATGTCCGTTTCACTGGTCGGTTATTTTTATAGGCAAGTAGTGATTAGACTACTGTGTCCTGCCCGACCAAAACAATCTATATTTTTTTCCGGGATTCGACTTAGAATCTCTCGCGCCTAATGCAATGCTAAAATCTATGCTTTCATGTTTAATTTTGGCTACAGAGACGGTGAAATTAGGAATATTTAACTATTTATTATTTCTATTGTAGATATTTTTGTAAAACTTTTGCGATATACTCTGTAAAAAAAGACGATAATAAACACAGAGACTAAGATACTATTCGTTTGATTACAGCCTACCAGGCCGATCATCAGAATACCCAGAAGAACGGCGCCGCGGCAGGGAATCACCACGTTGGCATGCACACGCCCATTCCCATAAAAAAGCATTCTTCAAAAAGGGACCATCATTATAAAAAACACTGTAAGTAAATAAAGCTATGCCTCTAGAAAGGTCTATTTTGTTGAAAGGGAAATTCAATGTATTTATGAGAGGTATATATTATGTGTTTTTTCAATATTAGATCTTATCTATAAGTTTTGCATCATTTTATACATTAAAATTTGAAGATATCCAAATTTTAAATACTTAATGTCCAATGACCTGGTTCTCTATGTAGAAGGAAGAATCACTTTTAAATGTACCAGAAATTTACCTACACTTTAGTTAATCGTCAATACTTTTTTGTGTACATCAAACTTAAGAACAGGTTTTATTGGTATGCTCCTTCCTTTCTTTTTCACTTTAGTATTCGGCCTAGACACAACAGATATGACGTCCACGACTACCCGCAGCCTGGATCTATCATCACTACTAGATGGTCGAACAGACAGCGATGCATCAACTGGTGATGCCCGCGCGATCCGAAGGCAACTAAGGGGTTTGGAAAACATGTACGCTGAAGTACTTCAACTCCTGGGTGTCAGGAAACCAGCCAGTTTGGCTAAACATCCCACTTGGGAAACTAGGTATGTTACATTTTTGTTTATCAATAACTGTTTAGTACCTACGATATTTAAAATTTGAGTTACTCCTGATGGGATCACGGAAGGCATTTATTTTTTTTGGACCTTGAAAGAACCTTATTAAAGATTATGTCTGGCCTTTTCAAGTTATTCTGTCATCATGATTTTTATCTGCACTCTACTTACATTGTTTATCGCCATGACTGTGACACCATGAAATTATGAATATTTGAACAAATCATTAAAAAAATTAAGTAAAGTAAGTAAAAAAAGTCTACGGATACTTCTTGCGCAAATAAAAAAAATATAACAAGTACACTAAAGTATTGTATTTATATTTTGTGAGATTAGCACGTTCTGCTGTACAAAATGTAGATATATTAGTAGTAAAGACGTTTTTAAATACCTTATTATCTATGCTCTTAAGCTATTGTGTTCTTATTATGAATAAAAAAAATGATATTTTTAGGCTGTCCTCAAAACGTAGGTATGGCAGCATGTCCTCCCTGCCATCCAGTTCAGTCAGCAGTCGTCCTCAAAGAGACAAAAGGCGTTCCTCAGATCATCGAAAGAAAAACGACTATAAGGTTTGCAAAAACTTACATACAGTTCCTTACCTTGGTTAATAATTACAAAATTATTGTTTAGAATCGTATGGCTGGTTTATGAATTAATGAGAAACTTTGACAAGAACAATAATTGCTCGGTACCATTAAAAGCCATGGAAATACTTTTTCCTATATTATAATAAACAATTGCTTTCCAATAAATTAATTTGAATCTTAAATTATTAACACCGCCATTGCTCTGTATAACATCTCAGGCGCCACAGAATATGATCAGAAAACCTATAGTACAGATCGCTAGGAACGAAATGTATTATTAAATTCTACCATCGATAAATCAAATTGCAAACCTACCTTACCAAAAAGTACAATTCTTCTCCATATACCCAAATTGTAGTTTAACGTGTACTTTTATTATATGCGTTATAAATGCGCCTTATACCGCAGAAGGTACCATTGTTTAGGATCACATTAAGCAAGAGATATGTTAATATTGATTAACAGACCTGAGCAAATATTTTTAATCACAACTTTGTGGTTCAAAATCTACAGATTATTAAAGTGGACACAACAGTGTCTGTCCTAAGCCAGACCCAAGAAACATATGGCTTTTAAATGTACACTTAGTGATGTATTAATAATTTTTCAGGGTATTAACAAACGCTTTCAACGTCTGGAGTCCCATGTAGTGACCCTGGCTCGTTCTGTAGCCCATTTGTCCAGTGAAATGCGAACACAACACCTGGTCATGCAGGAAATGGACAACATACGTGCGGAGATTGCGGCTCTTAGACATATGTATAAGTATGTATACTTGTGTCTTTATTGTGTTCACATTAAAGGCTATTTTAGATTGCAAAATATCATACTTATCTATTGCATATAAATACACAATATGAAAAGAACATAAAGTTAATAATATGAACTAGTGTAGTTTGAAGGAAAACAACAGAATCTAGAGAAGAAATAGTGGGAAATGTGAAAGAAAATCGCGGACATTATTCATCCCTGTACCGTTGCTTACGCTACGAAAACATCAAGATTTAAAAGTTCAAGATACCCAAACAATATGTATAAAGAATGATTCCTCTTTAAATGATCTTAAAAAATGTCCCAGACCGTATATGTCTATCTTTTAAGATTAACTTGCAAAACGACGGGGCGTAAATGACGTCATAGCCATCAGCTATAGTTTAAGATGAGAGGGTTTCCTAAAAAAAAAATAATGCCGAAAATAAGCATTCTTTGCGGACGAAGTTCATAAAACAAATAGTTTTATTATTAAAGGAATACCAGTACAATCACTGACAATATTTAATTTTAAATGCATTATTATAATAAAATCTTTTTCAGGTCACAGCAGTATATAAGATCAGGCCACTCCCGCCATCTTGACCCCTTTTCATTCAGCAATCCAGACCGAGTCAAGAGGCTTACCAAGTTTTTCGGAGATGAACCACCTCTAATGAGACTGTTCCTTAAAAAACTTGGATACGAGGTAATTTTAAGGCTTTCCCTTTATTCTTTTCATGTTACTTATATATTCAGCCTAATTTGAAACCTTTCAATATCGGATCAACGATGATCTACAATACACAATGAACAAAAGATGTACAATAATCAAGTTGTATAAGGTGACAATCTACATAAGATGCACTTTAAAAAAGTATATAACAGTTTGTTTCAGTTGACGAACTACAATTTATTTCAATTCTAGAAAAGTCTTGAAGTTCCAAAAGATCAGATCCATATTGACAGATTTCCAAAGTTAAATGATATAATTATGTGTCTTACAATTACTATGACTATTACAGAAATATGCAGCACTGCTGGAAAAAGAGAAAGTGGGTGCAGCAGAACTACCTTACGTCGGTGAGGACAAGCTGAGGGCTCTAGGCGTACCGCTGGGACCTCGTATGAGAATCTTAAAAGAGGCGGGCATTCATCATGACATACACTTCCCTAGAGATGACCCCAACACCACGACAACAACTTTAGCTATAGTTTGAAAATTTAATAAAAATGCAGTTTAAGTCCAATGAAATTGTTGTTATAGGTACGTAAAATTAAACAAAATTTTACCTTATAATCAAAAAAACAATAAGTGAAAAACCTGTTAAAAAAAGAAGATTTGTAAAAACTGTCTGCTATTTACGCGAGTAGTACACATTTAAATAAAACACTTTAAGCATGCAACTTTAACGGTTTAAAACGTGAAATATTAAACTTGTTTACAAATTATTTTAACTACAGCTGGAAGAATATTTTTAAAAGAAAACGTTACAGTTTCTTTTGTGTTATTACTTTTTTGCGTTTGGTGTGTAATATTTCCGTCCTTTTATATCCTGCATACCGATAGGTATGAGAAAATAATACTCTGGCATATTTAACTCATTTCTAGATTTAAATAAGTCCACCACGACTGACTTTTTCCTTAAATGTAAATATTCTTAAAGTGTTCATTAATCACCTACTTAGTGTTATCTTAACCGCACTTATAAGTGTCTAGTTTTAATTATTATATTTACTTTGAAACGTGTCTTGTAAACAAACAAAACACGCTAGACGTCGCGTATTATTTTTATTCATAATTAAAAAGCCTCGTGAAATTATTTCATTGTATCGTAACAATTCTTCATAAAAATAATTATAATAGAGATACGACTATGCCAAAGAGATGTCGGCATAAATGTATATTTGTAAATAATTTATTTGTAAACTGAACAACGAATTACAGCGAATGTGTTTTTTTACTTAATGTCTTTTTATATTTTGTAAATCTAGTTGTTTATAACAATTTATTAAATAAAACTACTTTAAACTATTTGACTTCAATTATTCTTACGGTAAACAATTTCTACAACACAACTTTAACTTCAACATGAGATCAGAGTAGCCTAACTGAGTTATTTGTATTTTTATAGTCCGAAATGTTAATCTACATGAGGACAGTATCCGAAAATTGTCAAAATAATTCTTACAAATAATAGTACGAATCTCCTTATTGAAAATAAGATTTTATGTTATTAGGCCACTCTGCCTCTAGCAGCTTCATATATTATACGCCAACTTAAAATATAAAAATTTGTACTAAAAATTTGCGCCTTATAAAATCTCTCCAAATCTGTTCTAGATAGAATAAAAAAAAATTACTTAACATTTATAAACACATTTAATTTATACGATCTTAAACAACGCTTTGGAGTCAAACGTAGCACTATTTTTAACATTACATTATTATTTTTACATTAGCGTTTTTCTTAAAGTAAAACAATCTTTTCTCAAACTAAACAACAAACTGGGCACAAAGAGTTATTACTTAATTAAAAACAATTCTGTTCATTATCGACGAACAAAGGTCGTAGTGCCAACTGGGATAACTATCATTAGCGACTGATCAGTTGAGTTCAGCAGTTCACATTTTGACGATGTTGAAATACTTGACTTTTTTGGCACTTTTCGGGACCATCGCCGCCGAAGTCGTCAAATTTAAGCCATGTGAAAATTGTGAGTAATAGATTTTTGCATGCTTCCATTAGTGTAGTTTAATTGTTAGTTTCTCATATTAGTATAGTAATGTAAATTTTTAATTATAAATAATAGGGTAGTTTCAACAAATTAAATGAGTGACTGTCGTTGTTATTTTTATAGTGTCGTGGGCCCTAAATAGGACAGAATGTTGACCTAAAGTTATTTAAAATACATTTTAAGTGCATATTTATGCGCATTTTATTTGAATACACAAACACTTCGTATATATCCAACTGTAACGGTCACTAAATTATTTTTCAAACACGAATACATGAGCATAAATCAATACATGAACTAAATGTGACTGAATTGAAATATAATTATGTTAGCATAATATAATGATTATACACCAGTTGTTGCAGAACAATGCTAAATTATCCCATTTGATTAAATACAGTGGCAAAAGTGGTAGTCACGATTGCCTACAGCTATTAATGAAAATAATAATCCCTATATTTCGGTATCAAGAACGGATGGGTGTTGTATACTAACTTAGCTTCTTTCAAAACGGCTTAAACACTTTTGCCATTGCTACAGATTCCATCTTTATTAGCCGGGTTATAATCCTACGAAATGTGAGTTTTAGTTCATCTAACATCGTCCACATGTATATAAACCGACATAAACGAACATTTGTACTTGTTTGTTGTACTTAACGTACTAAGAAATGATAACTAAAGGTCAAGAGAGTACAATTTATATTGTCCATAGAAATAATAAAACTATGAAACGAAATCTGGTAGACGTCTTATCTTGTAGATGTCAATAACATGTAGCTATTAACTAGATAATGAGTATTTATACTTGCAATTAACCTGAACAGACTGAATTGTAAATTTTATGTATTTATTTTTTCACCTATGGACTTTATTAGTTACTAGTGTGATACCATAGTCCACGAAATAGGTAGATATTAGAAAATCAATTAAAAACTGTCTACTTTACGCGAGTAGTAGGTACTCATTTAAATAAAACATCCTAACGGTTCAAAACACGAAAAAACGCATTTGAAAATTATTTTAACTAATATATTTCGCGTGTAACCGTTAAAGTGTTTTATTTAATAAGCCAATTAAAAGTTTTCGTTTTTACATTAATTTACAAAATTACTTAAGTTAAGTCATAACTTTCTAGATATTATAGACTTAATTTTAGTACAAGTTGTCTCTCATTAGTTACCCTTCAATCTACACAAACATTAATATTTTGCTGCATGAAGTACCAGCTACCAAACGTTGCTCACTGATGCCACAAATAATTGTAGCTTCTATAGGTACTGTCTAATTTTCAGCGCCGATCTGCACGGTCAACGAAGTACGGTTCATTCCGTGTAAGGATCCGTCCATGTGCAAATTGAAGAAGGGATCTCTATACTCACTATCATACGACTTTACACCCAGTAAGTTATATATTTATTAAAGAAATTTGTGCTCGTCGTTTCATGATTGTGTTGTTAAGTGTTCTCATTATTATAATTAATTAAAGGGATTCAGTATACATTTTTTTTATATATAGAAGAAAAAGTTATAGGGCACTTTGCTTTTATAAATAGTTGCAAAATATAATTTTATTTAACTCGTGCAAAAATGCTTTAAATTTACATTAAATCTAAAATACGGATCTTCTTAAAATACTTCTTCTTAAAGCACTTGGTCCCTTGTACGTTTATATGAAAAGTAAGACTAAGGATGCTTAAGTCACCAGAGTATTATAGATGGAAAGTTCCCCTAATCTATTATTATTTATTTCCCCCTAATGTATAGTCAAATGTGCTACGCTAGCGCCATCTGTTTCCTCAATTTGTGTTAGCAAAAACTACCTGGGCATACAAAATGTAAAACGTCAGTTAAAGCTGACTTTTTACAATTCGCTCGGAATTTGGTTAACGTTTAAAAAATAAAAAAAAATCATAACAATAAGAAGAGATTAGAGTTCATAAAACTCCTACTATATAGCAATTTTTTTTTAGATGTAACATTAGATAAGTTAAGAGCTGGCTTCTTCTGGGCGAGCGAGACTGCGGATGTGCCGTTCCCAGAAATGCACAACGCCGATGCCTGTCAATACACTAAGTGTCCGATAGAGGACGGTAAACAGCAAACGTTCGAGTACAGCTTACGACTTGGAAAGAAGTTGCCTAGAGTTAGTAGTTATGTTTAATTCCCTACTTCTATTCAATAGTTCCGTTCTCAATCTGGAATGAAATAGTGGTAAAAAAACTACTTCGTCCACGTGGGCCACGGGACAGTCATAATATATTGACCCTGCTTCATTGATCTTTTTTTATTTATATAGAAGATGATTATGAGACTTCTGTGCCCTGCTCTACCGAATAATAAAGTTCTGAGTAAGCACTAAGGAAGTTACTCTCAAAGAAAGATGGGTATATACAAATATAAACGCTTATGTTGATCGATAATCCTAATATATAACAGTAAAATATATCTTTCAGGGTCAATTTACTTTTAAACTAAAACTTTGGGATGAGACAGACGAGACAAAAGCCTGCTGCTTCATGACTACAGTTGCAATAACCAAGTAATTATACAATTGTTATTGAATATATTTACAGACCATGTATAATAAATAATAAAATCAAAAGAAGGATTATCTTTTTATATGACCTATTAAGAAATAATAAACGGTAAATAATGATTCAAAATAATAAAGCATTTATTTTGTATGATAATTTACCGTGTAACGTCAGACTCAGTATTTTCTAGAAGAGTCTTACATTTTTTATCATAGGACAAGCAAGGGATTTACTTGATGGAAGGTTAAATGCTCCAGCTATATAAGACGCAGATCTGGTAAAAATGATTGTGGTGACCAACAGACATAGTAGTACTTCGTGTTGTATTATTGAATGGAATTGAATGAATACAATATTGCAAATGGACCACCCCAATATCAACGGAAATGGAAAGTATGTACCATATTTCACTTCTCTGAACAATGGTCTGCTCGCCGGATACATTTCAACACTTTTTGCAACACATTGTCTCTAATTATGTATGGTGGGAAAATTCTCGTGCGAATTTTGGCGCACAATACTGTCTGTTTTCAACTGTGCTTCTTCTGAGGTTCTTATCGTATAAAAATTAATTAATTAAAAGTATTTATTTAGGTAACAGATTTTTTTAAATCAATCTATTTTGGATCTGGAAAATAGTTCAAGTAAATAATACCTGGGCTAAAGTATTTAAATTAGTTCAAATGATTACGACTATTTTTCGGTTCGTCGTATTTTTACATGTTATTGCACATGAACATGTAAAAATACAAGCACTTTATTATCTACGGCTAACAGTTGTTTGCAAGTAGAACAAGTGTTAAAGTTGAAATTACATTGCGCATGAGGTGCATGTATCAATAAGTTGAAAAAATTCGACAATGAGGTGTAGGACTCGGTAGCTCAATTGATAGAGCAACAGCACGGAACGCTGACGATGCCGGTTCAAGTCCTGCCCGAGTCGAAATTTTTTTCAATTTATCTTCGATTTTTAAAATACATAACATCTCAAGAAGAGGCGCTGTTGATTTTTTTTCTTTAGTTTACTGTTCGGAGGTCGATTATGTTTTTGTTCAAATTATTCCACTTCAATTCGGTCTTTACACATATTATGTTATGTACCTGTTCTCTCCCAATAAGGAATGTTGTCGAATACCAATACATAGATATAGCGCAGTGCAAAAACAATAAAACATGAAGCTTTCACGTCTAACAGCAGCCTGTCAAACCGGGACCTAACAGCCTGCTCCGGAATGTTTGCGGTGACCATAATATAAAGTAAATATTATAAACTATTGTTTTGACATGAAGTAATCAACTCTGGGACCCAATTCTACTATTTACAAGTCTTGTTGGAAATATCTAGTTCGAATATGCAAATCTAAAATCAGTCGACAGCTTATATAGATATTATATGGCTGAGATTTTTCACTTTCACTTCGCTACCACGTCACTGGACGTTACTTAGCAAGTGTGGTACGTACTTTGTTGTTGTTATATTTTTTCCATAATTTTCTAACTCTGATGAACTTATAACATGTTATACGACCTATCACGCAAAGTTCAAAAGTAATTGGGCTGTTAGATTTTTTAACTAAAGCAATTTTGTGGAAGAGTTTGATGATGATTTAATGAAGAGAAAACTATTATTTTTTATCGTTTCAATACAACAGCGCCATGACCTTAGGTCTTAGATTCGCATCCTGGGGAAACATGACGAATTGTTTAAGTAACCAGAATATTGTAGTTTGATGAACTTCTACCTGTAAACAAAATACATACATACATAAAACTGTAAATCAGACTTTACAATAGCAAAGTTGAAAACTGTGATTAACACTTAGTCCTTGGGAGAACATTATTGCAGAACTAATGCATAAAAACACCATTTATAATAAATATCAAAAAGGATTTCAGATTAACATATTAGTCCAAAATGTTTATTTTAGGTTTACACCTTGACAAGACTACACACAGACAGACATTTTAAAATATCACGTTGCGACCAATGGCAGCGAAGGAACAGAGGGAAATGTGGTAATATAATAAGGGGGGAAATTCATCTTTAGGGGCTTCCAAAATATGTATGAAAGAATGATTATTTATTATTAATTGATCTTAAAATATGTCCGCGAAAGTATATATGTATCTATATTTTAAGATGAACTCGCAAGAACGACGGCAGCCGACGACGAACAAACAAACAAAACAAAAAATACTTTATTTTCACCATAATATTACAAAATAAACTTAATTAAAAATTAACAAAAAGTAGCGAGAAAAGGCGTAACAACTATAATTTAAAAGGCTGAGGAGTTTATGAGCAAAAATAAATAATATTGTGATGCCCAAAATCACTATACACCTCTGACGAAGTCGCAGACGTAGCAAGTAATTTAGTCCAAAGTTTACAAAAGTGTGGTCACTAGGAGGGCTAATAACCTCTCTTGCCCCTTGTCCAGCAAGTCCAGGGCTATAACTACAACGCTATCAATGAGCGGATACAAACACTTTTCAAATGTTTTGTTTCACAAATGAACATTACACTTTACGACGCGGATAATTTTATTTGGTTATATCCACTATAAAGATTTTTGACTTTATATAAAATCAAGTAAAAAAAAGTTTAACTTAGTTTAGCTTATTCTATATTATACATTAAATAAATATTAAATTGTTCAAACGAGAGTATAATATGTAAACTACCTTTAATTTAATAAAACGCTTTAAAAAGTTGGCTTTCGGCGGAACAGCAGTTTTTTACTTTGACGTCTGAGATACCCTCCATTTTAGTCTCGCCGTGACCACGGAAACATCGGGCCGTCAATAAACATATATCGCGTTTTAAACCGTTAGTGTTTTATTCAAATGTGTACTACTCGCGTACACTACAGACAGTATTTACTTCTAATTTTCAATCTCTTACAGCTCCTAAAATTCCAATAACTCATATAATTGTTTACGCGAGTAGGACACATTTAAATTAAAAATCCCATAATTTAATTTTAAATATTCTAATTAAATTTAACTACAGCTCCCCGTGACCAACGTCAGGCCATAGTGAAAAAATAAGTTTACTAATATATTTCGTGTTTCAAACCGTTTTAAATTAAAGCAATAATAAAGTTTAATTAAAACACTTTAACGGTTTGGCAGTCGTGTCTCGGGTTTAACTAATATAACGCGTTTAAAACCGTTAAAGTATTTAATTTAAATGTGTACTACTCGCGTAAACTATAGACAGTATTGAATAATAAAGTTTTCCGTACTCTTATGTTAGGGCTGTTAAACTCAATAGTTCTCAAGAGTTTTCCCCAGTCCAAGTAACCCACCAATAACTTAGTGGCGTTATGATTCTTATACACCATAAGAAAAGTGAAAATGGTCATCTCAGTGATCGGAAGCAATACAAATGGAATCACTTTCACACTCGGCCGTCCATCAAAAACTCTCCACAGATTGTATTACGTTTCTTAGGTTACATTAACAATTTCCGCATTTCATATTTTGAAAGTCTCATTTATCTATATTTAGCTGGTGATCTCTTAATTAATCTTGTATCATTATAATTTGCTCATCCGCTATCGAAGTGTATATACTTTTGTAAACTGTTTTAGGCTACTAAATGTCATGCTGCGACTAATAGGACCGAAGCAACAGTAGGAAATTGGGGGAAAACGGGGAAAATTGAGGGTCTCCGTTGCCACTGCGTAAATGGTTCAAGATACCCAAAAAATATGTACACAATAATCATTATCCTTTAAATTATCTCTCAAAAATTTCGTTAGTAGTATGAGAAAATCACAAGAAGATTATCATTTGGAAATAAGTTTCCCAGTGAGCTAGTCTATTAATTGATATATTTCGCGTTTTAATCTATTCAATTCGTTAAATTTGGTATAAAAGCGAAATATTACTATGTACAGTACCACTCCCGACGACTAAAACGGATTTTTATGTGTTGACTATATCTATAAAGTACATTGTATATAATTCCACGGCAAAAGTACTTATATGAAACTGGGGTTACCAATAATAGTTCTAGCCATAAAGAGACATGGTAGCTGACCTCCCGTTGTGGTGTGAAGTGACCTTTCTCGTCTGATTCATCGGTTTTTCATTGCTTTGTATGGTAGTTTTAGTATTGCTGGTCGGTATTCTTTGATTTAGTTATAAAAAATAAAAACTTATAGAGTAAACCGATATTCAATTATGTATAAAAAAATCTATAAAGAGAAATTCAATTCAATTTAAAATTCACACTTGAAATATTAATAGTTTAAAATTGAACTGTATTAACTTAAGCTGTAATTTTAAATTGTAGAAGGCTTTCACGGTAATTTTACAAAACTACTTTTGTTTTTTTTGTTTTTCAAGTTCTTGCACCTCATTATGGTGATTGAGAAATGTCATCAGTTTACGTTAACTTGAGAAATGTGAAGGGTAAACGTCGAGAATTATTCTCAATTACGACCATATCTTTTTCTTTCATCTTTTTTCTTTTTGAGTAAACAGAAAATACCTTACCACTTTTTGTCATTATATGAAACTTTATTAATGAATAAAGACCAAGGTGAACAGGCCAGTCTATTTTTAACAAGTGAATGCGTGATAGACAATTGATAAAGTATACGATCTAGATCTAGATTCTAACTCAAATAACATAACAGCTAATAAAGTTCTATTAAGATTTTTTAGTTGGTGCTATGGTGCGCGTTAGTCTTTGTCATTTTATACTTGTACAAACAACTAATCCAACAGTATACTACAAATTAAATAAAACACTTTAACGGTTTATTAAGAACTATTTTTAACTCTTTGTAGCAGCCGTGATCACGGGGCGACAAAATAATTCTCAAACAAGTTAAACTTAAAATATATCGCGTTTTAAACCGTTAAAGTGTTTTAGTGTCTTTTTTTAAATGTCTACTACTCACCTAAACTACAGAAAGTATTTAGTACAAATTATCTTACCAATCCTTATTAGTTTGTCAATTTATATAAGATTACATATAAGCTGTTATGTGTTACATAATGATTGATTGCGTCCTGCGGTAGTTGTTAATGTACGTAAATTTAAACATAATATAGGTAATATGCTGTTTATTGGATAATATAATAACTTCAATATCCTCATATCTGTAAAGTGTTACGTGTTTTCATTAAGGATCGAAATGATATAAATATCAAACATGACACCTCTCATTTACTACTAGCTACAATCTAATTTAAGTTTTAAAACTTTACTGATTTATAAAGCTGAAAGTTTGTTTGTTTGAACGCAATAATCTGGAAATTGTTCTAATTAAAAAATCTTTTTGTTAAAGTAAATACTCTAACCAACACAAAAAGATCAGGGAATGCTATAGGCTGTAAAAAATGTGATGTGATGTGAATAGGAGCGAAGAAACAGCGGGAAATTTGCAAAAACGGGAAAATTTATTCATCTCTGTGGGTTTCCGATGCGCACGCTGCGAAAACGGTTAAGACATCTATAATGTTATCATTCCTCTTTAAATGATCTAAATAAATGTCGGTTACATATATGTCATCTTTCAGATTAACTTGCAAGAACGACGGGTCGCGACCGATGTCGTTCGTGAGTAACAGATTGAATTTATAAAGATGAAGAGGAGGTTCGCAAAAACAAATTTTGATGCCCAAAATTACTATCCTATGCGTACTAAGTCGCTGACACAGCTAGTTATCTATAAATGTGAAGTAGTAATGAACTTATTAAATGTCTTGAAGCGTCGAACTTCTTTTGTTTAACCACAAAACCTTGTAATTCCAAGTGGCGACTCATGCTAGTCTAGATCCTGAATAATGAATTAATGAGAAAATAGAAGTGATTAAAATAACATTGCAATGATCAATAACACATTTTCTATTTAAATAATTTAGTTTATTTTTAATTTCGAGCAATATTATATGTTCTTTTTATGCGCCGGCGCGTGTTCTAAACTTTTCTTATTGCTTTAAGAAACGCTACATATCCTTACCTATTATGGCGACGTGTTTTACAGGTGAATTATTTTTTATCCGATAGTCCATAATGCGACAGCAGATGTTTTCATTCGATCTCGTGCCATCTGTTTTAACGTTTTTGTATAGCATATGCCGAATTGCACATGTCGAATACCTTCGTTCAAAAATGTAGGTACATTTCTATTTGTTGTCATGCTAATAAAATTCTCCTCTCGGAAGGAAATAAAATAAAAAGCGAGGCCATCTCTAATACAAATCAAATAATTTAATCCACACATACACAAATACAAAAAATAGTAGACAAAAATACAATGATATACACAATAATAAATGTATGTGGAGGGACGCGAGCTTTTGTTATACCTGGAAGTAGGCACAACGCCGATTTTAAGTGATGTCCCACGAAAATAGAAATATAAAAAAGGTATACAATTTATACCTTTTTTATAAGCTAAACTACATGGAAAAGGATAAGCCATCACTTGAATCACATTGAAATATTCAACAGTGCTTATTTTCAGTACCCTTCGTGGCTTTGAGAGATAGACAGAAACTTATAATACTAATAATAATAAAGAAATTGACTCAATATTAAATGCATAATATGGAGAAGGATTATAGATATGCGGACTCTGGCGAGGACTGGAGGCTGAAGGCCGGTTATGGGAAGTGTCTGTTCTGATGATGAATGTAAGAAAGAGAATTTATTGATTGTTGAAAAATTGTTTGGCATTTTGATTGTTGCAAACATTATTATGCATTTATCTTTTAAATAAAACATTTCAACGGTTTAAAACGCGATTTACATTAGTTAAGCTTACCCTCATCACGGTCACGGGGAGTCTTCCCGGCTGCTACAAAGCATCCTGAAACGTCGGGCCGTAGTAAATATGATTTTCATACAAGTTTAACTCATATATATCGCGTATTGAACCGTCAAAAGTGTTTTATTTAAATGTGTACTACTCGCGTAAACACTCCACACAGACTCTCTTAAAAAAAAAGTAAACTACTAATAAATATAATATATTGAAGGTCCTTTGGTTCTATCACTTCAACGTAACGTACTACATATATTTTAGAGACAAACATAAAAACCACACAAGTAACGAACGGAAAGGAGCGATCACCTGTCGCCGATCTTACATTTTACCCGACCTACCTGTTGCTACCAAAAAACAACAAAGGACCCTTCCCGAAATGAGCCTTTATCTACAATACTTATCCCCTACGCAATAACAGGGCGCAAAAAAATACGCAGAAATTTATGATACTTAATTTTTATTTAACATATATTACAAAATGATGTCCACACTCTACCTACTCTACTTTGAAGCAGAGTTGTCATCACATCATACTTTGGAGTAAAGCTTAGGCCGCCAGCCGGGCTATTACCATCACGAATGCTAATGATTCCAGTCAATTCAGAAGCGGACATATTTTTTTAAAGAAATCATTTAACACAAAGAAAGGCATATCGCATCATCAACTCGGTGTAATGAAAGTGAATTTAACAGCATAGAAACTGCCGCAAAAACATAAGATCAATGATTTATCTTCTCGTTTGACAAAACCAGTTTTGGAAACAAAAATTGTATGACGTCTATTGTGTACGTGTATTGGAGCGAACTTTATGAATATAAGACTAATAAAAAAAATCACACTGTCTATAGTTTACGCGAATAGTACACATTTAAATAAAACACTTTAACGGTTTAAAACACGATATATTAGTTAAACTTATTTGAAAATTATTTTTAACTTCGGTCCGACGTTTCGGATGCTTTGCAGCAGCCGTGGTCACGGTCGCGTGTTAAACCGTTTAAGTTTTTTATTAAAAAAAAAAAATTTTCGACCCCATAGGTACTGCAATATTAAGTACTAGTTATACTCGCAACTTCGTTCTCGTTGAATAGTTATTGTGTGCATTTTATTTATCTTTGTTAATTATAGCTTCTAGCTACTCTTTGTAAATTATGTCTTTTACCCCCTCCGTCGTCCGTGTCCCGTTGTTTTTGCAAGTAATCTTAAAAGATAGGCATAGTGTCAAGGATATTTTATTAGAGTATAATATAAAGAGGAGTCATTCACGATACATATTTTTTGAGTATCTTAAACCGTTTTCGCAGTGTACGTAACGAAAACTACGAAGATGAATAATTTATCCCGTTTTCTCCACATTTTCCGCTGTTTCTTTGCTCTTATCAGTCACAGCATGATGTTTTATCTCTTCATAACCCCTGAAATGCACTCTAAACGACACAAAAATAATTTTGAAGTAAAGAAATGAATCATGGAATATAGTTCGCGTTTCCGACGGTTGTGTTTTTATTAAATACTTAAAAACAGTATATTGCTTATTATGCGGAAACGAGAAATCGCTAAACCCACTCTAATTACATTATACCAAAAGCAAAACATTTAACTTGCTAGAATACGGTCACATTAGAATTGATTTCTCAGCTATTTAAACCTACGTAAACCCGGAAAGAGTATCAGGATCTCCGCTTTAGGTAATCTTGAAAAAACAAGCTTTTGTAAAGTCTATGCATAATACGAGTTACGCAATATCACTGACACTTTGTAGTGGTACTAGAAAATCTAAAGATTTAATACGAAGTAGACTTCTTCCTATAAGTATTACGTTTTATCAATAAGGCCACATCTCAAAAACAATTCGAAGTGTTACTTCTATTAGTGTCTGTTTCATAAAGACAATATATGTAGTTTATATTAAAAAACAAATAGTAATAAAATACAATTGGTATTTGCTTGAAATGGTGAACTTTTCATAGTGTTCGTTTTTCCAAAGATAGATAGCATTTGTAAAATGCAAACAGATGGGAAAGCAAGTGAAATAACATCAGGAGAAGGTTTATAATAAATGCAGATGTTTTACAGCAATTTCTGTAAGTTTATTAGAATAATAAATGAGAGAAAGTTTATGGTCTATATTTATTACTAAAATATTAATAACATTTTTATTTCACTCATATGGTGACCGTACATAACAAGCGCAGACAGTACGTTGTACATCGCTGCCACAGTTTTGCCCTCTCGAGCGCTAGTATCGCTCGCAACCTGCGCACAGGTGGACGTTGTTCGGCGAATAATCTAGTAAATTATCAATTTCAAAACTCTTTACGTTAGCACGTATAGATGTTTTTGAGACGATATAGAATTGTGGTGATAATTACGTAAATTTTGTGATTGTGGCTGATACACGTGTGACATAGTGATTGTTTAGTTGAGTTTTCTCGAGGTTTTCCATAAAAATCTCCGGTGAGACGTCGACGGAACTGTAGGGTGTTGGATTTTCATACAATCTGTTGGTATGTTTAATAAGTTATACATAAAAATCGGATATTCTTATTATTATCTGTGTATAAAAAAGTATCCAGTTAAAATACGTTATAAACTGTCGCTAATTTGAATTTCGAATGCAAACAAAAATCTACCCGATTACGTGCAATATTACGAACACGGAAGCTTACGTCAAACGATAAATGTTTTGCAAAGTAAATATGGAGACTTGTACAAAATATACATACAAAATTCGGAGTGCCATATTACCCTCAAGGCCATCAGCATCATTTGTCTGAAATCTTGACGTCACATCTTGACAATCTAAACCTAAGTCGATATTGATGCAAATAACTTATTTCTAATGCTAAGTAATTATATATAACTTTATCAACTCAAAAGTTGTACAGAGCTGAGTTTCTTTTTTAACTACCGACATATTTAACCAATTCAATGCTAGATTTGCGAGCACGATACTTACGGAATTATATCTGTGGGTTTTGGCAGTGGTACACATAAAACAAAACACTTTTAAACGGCTTTAAACGCAAGATATATTTATTAATTTTGAACTTGACCCAAAGCTTTACAGATGCCTCCGTGACCCCGGGTGTTAGTTTGCACCTTACACCCATTAAAGAGTGTTTTATTTTAGAAAACCTAGAAACAAACAGTACCTACTCAGTTCTATTAGGATCCTCTGGTGTATAAGTACATATTATTACTACAATATAACGTTTAGTTGTAACTCTAACCAATACATGCTTCATGCATATCGTGGGTACATTCTTTATTTTTGAAAAAAAACATTAGGAATTTAAATTAAACATCGAGTGTTTAGATTGACAAAAAATTGACAACACGGGCGGAACTTGAACCGGCATCGACAGCGTTCCGTGCTGTTTCAACCAATTCAGCTATTGAAGAGTTGAATTATATGCGCGTTAGGTTGCAAATTTTAGGAGAGCTCTTAAAATAGTATTTTTTTTATATAGATACGAAAAAAAGGAGTTGTTCTTGTTTTCTACTTGACATGAAAATACCTACATAGGTACCTTATCATACTCAGTTGTATGTCAGCAGTTCACCTAGGATTGTGGATATGGCAGGTAAACTCGATACTGGTTTGTGGAGGTCACCGTCCGCAGACCATCGACAAGAGGACACGTACTTATGCGTGTTTTATAGATCCGCATTTCTAGAGGTACTATAGCGTTTGACCTTTAACCAGTTAAGCTTATGATATACCAGCCAAGAGCGAATAGATGTAATGGTTCCGTACCGTAAACAAAAGCGAAAAAATACTATATAAATTAAAAATCGAATGTAAATTGAAAGTTGTAAGACACAGGAAGGACCAGAACCGGCATGAGCTAACGTGTCCTACACGTCATCGAATTTTTCTAAACCTTGTTGAAACCTGCACCTAATACTACTACTACTAACTAATTGAATTACATTTTGCACCTCTTGCAAAATGTAATTTAGTCATATTAGTACATCATGTGTCAATAACATGTGAAAAATATCAATGTTTTCGAAAAAATACTAATAATGTGTGTGCAAAATTTACCTGTCCATCACATTAGCCTAGTATTACAAATGAGAACCCATAAAAGCTATAGATATGATGAAAACAAAAAAAAATAGTCATATTAAAATATGTGGGTTCTGTAAAAATACTTTGATTTCTAGTTGGGTTTTCTAATTTTTATAAACAATAATAAATCAATTTTGTTACAAAAAAACAAATAGCTAATCCTAAAATACCACTAGAAAAGTGAACTTTAGTAGCTCAAAATATGTGTACCTGAAACTTAATTTTATTAATCTATTGAATATATTACTATAATCAAAGATAAGGGTTACAGAGATAAGATAGGAGAAAATAGATTTGACGCATTAATCTATAAAACATCACTAAATGTTGCTTAGTCAAATATTTTGATGTTCAAATAGAGCTCAGAGGTGACTGACCATTTCATCTTACTGAGGTCAATCTCGTTAGTGAAAGTATATTTTAACTTTGAAGATAAACGATAGATAGTACATTTTAGAGAGTAAGTATTATAGTATGATATATTTTATTTGATACCATAATGTGTTTTGGACCTAAAGTGTTTAAACTTTGATAACATTTACTAAACACATATGGGTATGCATACATACATTGTAAATTTTTAACTAGATTGGTAGATATATTATCAACTACCACATTTTTTTATAGTTAAGTCTATGATGTTGTTTTGTAAAAGATCACATTATTAACAGACATCATACTAAAACTAAATTAAAAATATCTAAACTAAATTTATCGTTTTAACTTGTGTTATTAAAATATTTTTTAAGGTATATATACTTAAATAAATAAAAAATAAGTTTTATATTTCGCGTTTTAAACCGTTAAAAGTGCTCTTAAAATTGTAAAATACAGACAATACGTAAGGAATAATCTGCACTTACAAAAACAGAAGTCCCCCGGAAATCCCGTTTTCCCTCGTGGGTTATAGGGCGAACATATTTCAATGTCCGTTTCACTGATCGGTTGAATTTACAAGTAGTTGATAAGACTTCTGTGCCGTGCCTGACCGAAACAAGCTTTCCTGGGGTGCGAATTTAGTACCTCTCGCGCTTAACGTAACGCCAGGCAACAAACCTTGTAGCTACACAGGCGGTCATTCTATTATCATATTTGTATTCTAATCTGTATCTACACTAGGTGTATTCATAGCAAATATTTGTTAAATAATTATTAGCAGAGATGACGCAATTTCCTCAAGTGATAAATAAATCGATATAGTCATATAGTCAACTATTTACTTAATTCAAGATATTTCAAAATCTACGCCACATTTTAAAACTTTTAAATAAAACACTTTAACGGCTTAAAACGCGATATATATTAGTTACTGACCCCTTACCCACATCTCCCCGTGACCACGGCTGCTGCAAAAGTTAGTGTTTTATTTAAATGTTTACTAGGTACTCGTGGAAACTACAGCATACTTAATTTAAAACTTTATGAGTGATTAAAATTTAAACACTTAACTTAAGCAAAGTTTAATATTTAATTTTAATTTAATACCAGTAAACTTGGGTAAGGCTCCACTGCCCACGAGTAACCCAATTTTATTATAAACATTAGGTGGTATCAGTGACCTGATAACTGTATCTGATAAACTATGACCTTCTAGGGACTAATCGTACCAAATTCCTGAAATATTGACGTTGTTTTGAGTATACATGTTATTGCTATTTTAGTTTAGACTTGTGAGGCCCCATCATAGATACTTTCTATATTAAGTAAATAAATAAAAATGCAGTCAAGTTTTTCAATAAATAATTAATTATTGTAGAAACAAATACATAGATTCTTTTACTACCTAAGTACTAACAATTTTTAAATAATATATAGTTTTCTATAGACCCACAAGAACATCGAATAGTCAAACATAGAAATCTTCCGGTCAAACTTAATAGTCACAAATCGGCAAATTAAAAACTGTAAGTAATTGTAAGGAAAAAATCAAAATTACTAGTTCCCTGCTTTAAACATCTAAATGAGGTGCTATAAAAATATGAGGATTTTGTCTGATTTCATATTAGAGAAGTATAGAATAGATAATATATATATGTCTACTCACTACTGTAATCGGCCTTAACTGGTCAATAATACCCGCATTCTTCTTCTATTTAACATACCTATTATTATATTAATAAGATGAAAAACACGTAACTAATCTGTAAATAAATTTTTATTTCGGAATTCGACATCCAAAAATCACGCTAAGTGTGTTAGTAAATGTGCCTATCTTTATCCTTTGGGCAATTGAGACACTTCTTGGCCCAAGGGATAAAGAATCTTTTAACATATAGATTTATTATATTTAAAAGAATGTATGAAATATTATTTGTTATGTGTTCCATATGTAACACAGAAGGATATATAATACAACATTCGTAATAACAAGTTGTAATAATACCAACTACAGTAAACTTGTACATAATTACTTAATATTTTTTATCTTGCAAGCCCTGAGGTAATATAGAAAGGTAACTTGCATCACTGTAATACTTTTACTGTCAGATTGCGAGAGGTGCCGGTTCGATTCCCGCGCCGCACAACCACTTTCGCCATTTGTTTGCGCACAATGCTCCATGAAAGATTCTCATTAGAGATAACAGGTTAACACACGGCGTTTTTATCGAGAGTTTAAGCCTCCGAGCGTATTTTCACCTGTTGTTGAAGTGTTCGAGGGATTTTTTATGAATTGAAATATCTTAGTTAAGGACAGGATCTATTTAAATAAAACTCTTTAACGGTTTAAAACGCGACATATTAGTTAAACTTATTTCAAAATGATTTTTAACTTCGGCCCGACGTTTCGGATGCTTTGCAGCCGTGGTCACGGGCCGAAGTTAAAAAATCATTTTCAATAAGTTTAACTAATATATCGCGTTTTAAACCGTTAAAGTGTTTTATTTAAATGTGTACTACTCGCGTAAACTATAGACAGTATTTATGGACAGGATGTTTACAATTTATGTAAGGATAACTTTTATATCTTAATAAAGAACTTAGTGCTTATAGAATATCTAATAAGTAAAAACCAAAGGCTTTGTCCAAATATAGTAACTAGATAAACTATATTTGTGACTTGAACGACATTTTTTTATGATAGAGGCCAAGACAAACTTGGAGTTCAGTTGATGGAATGTGAATTAGAATATAATTAAAAGTTGTAGAGTGTGTAACCCATTTATTATCCACTAGCTGTTGCCGCGACTTCGTTCGCGTGGAATAGTGACTTGGGGTAGAATTTTTGTTTATTAATTTATATAACTGCGCATTAATCGCAGCCAATCTATGCTGTAAGTGCTACTTTACCGCAACACTCTCACCTCACAGCACTGCTACTCTAACTCCCACTCCCACTAGCATCGCCACCCCCACTCTCACTCCCATTCCTATTCCCACTGCTATTCCCAAAAAGCTAAAGAAGAAAGTTTCCTTGTTCTAGTTTCAAAACCCCCCCCCTTTTCACAATAAAAAATTATGTTCTTTCTCAGGGTCTAAACTATCTGTGTACCAAATTTCATTCAAATCCGTTCAGTAGTTTTGGCGTGAAAGAAACAGACAGACGGACAGAGTTACTTTCCCATGTATAATATTAGTAAGGATTCAACAAGTCTAACAAGCTTCAGATTTTTTTTTAAATTATTATAAACATATTGTGCCCTGTGGGGAATGAAATCACGATCCTAAGATTATTCGTTACATATAATAATTCAACTATGTATGTAGACTAGACATATACTATCGCGGATATTTTTTCAATCATTATTTCATACATATTTTTGCTATTGGTCGCCAACACGAAACGATATTTTTTTTTCAATTCAAACCTATAAGTCCTGAGATTAGCGCGTTAAAGAAAACGAACAAACAAACACTTCAGCTTTATAATATTAGTACAGATAATGCTTTGGATTCTATAGAAAAGGTTAGGTTACTTTGTATAGCTGCTTGCAGGTCTTATTTTAAGTAGGTATGTTAAGAGTTTAGATGGCGCCTCTCTTGAATTCCGCCTAGCTCAATGATCTTCGCCGACGCTCAGCTGCCTACATCATGCATATTATGCATCTAGGGTTGTCAATCTCGAGTTTTTTTTTAATATAATTCAATAACATGTAAAAAATTAAGAATTAGTTCAGCAACTATATGGTACTATATATACAATAAGTAAAACTAATTATTAAATTTAATATTACCTCGGTAATTATTTAGAGAAATATTATTGTACATGGTTGGTTTTAGTCTAAGAGATAATTCTACAGACACACAGTTAAGGTACTACTTTCATCAAGTTATCTTATTGAGCAATTATTGGATGATTTAATAAGACGAATCTGAATTAGTACTTTTCATAGGTATGCATCCCACCAAAAACATCATTTTTGGAACCAAGTTCAAAACAAAAATTGTGCTTTGCACAAAGAATGGAGATCTATATGACTGCCAAGTTCTATGCAAAATCCAAGTATGTATAGGAATAAAATTAAAATATATATACAAGTGATAAACTCTATTTCTTTGCTTTATTGGATATGTAAAACAATTTCTGTAATTTAAAAAATGTAAATCTTGAGTAGTCTATATCGTCCTGGCCAGTTCCTTCACTTGAACTCGGCTTAATACGCTGCGTGTGTCTAGATCGTTATTTCTCTATAAATTCCATGATACTGTGGATATACGAAATTGCATAATACCATATTATTCGCAAGCGATAACAATAACATATATATTGTAGGTATATATTTCAATGTTATCATTTCCACGTTGTTATCACATCGTTGACGACCTTGCTACCTTGAATTGTATTTGCCTATTGATATTTGCAGTTAAATTATTATCACCTTATTAACATATTATTAAATACGATATTAAACAATAATATATAAGTTTGTACTTGTATTAATTTGAATGTCTATTGTTATGAAAAGGTTTTTATACATAGGAAGTTAATTTAACCCTTGTCAAAAGAAATGAGGATGACATCCAACAGTGATGTTTATATATAATATAACTATTATATATACCTAAATGTATTCTTAATTTGAAAAAAGAGACTATAAATGTAAAAGAGTATAAAAATATTTTATATTATATAATCATACTTAAATAGTAATAAAACAACAAATTCTGTCGACAGCCCTAACAACAACGCAGCAACTTAACGCTGTAGGTGTACAATGTATTCTTTAAAAGGATTTCATGACAGCGCCTAGAAAAAAATCCTCTTGTATTGCGAAAATAGCGTTACCGAGTAATTTAATGATTCCGGAAAATTTTGCAAACCATAAACTTTCATTAAATAAAAACAATGCGCTATTGTTTTGCCGGTTGCAGTGACCCAGTAAAATATAGAAATCAGCATGCATTGTGTATTTCCGCTGAGGTAGACATATTGTTGACTTCACCTCCTTTTTACTGCTAAATTGATGACAATATTTTTCTCATAATAGTCTGCGCTTGCGTTTTGTTCAAGTGAACATGCACTTTAATACTTTTTCTCATGTTATTGCACATGATGGCGCTATATAAATTAAAAATACTATAATGGATTTTTAATTTGAAATTGAAAAAAATTACGACTCGTAACTTGAGTCGTAAATTTTGTTAAATGATTATTAAGTTAATTTAGTATTATTAGTTAAATATTATTTTGATATTAATATGATGTTTCAGGTAATTCGCGATGCCGTGTTAAGAACAGCGTGATGATGAGGCTCGAAGCGTCTGAGAAACAGCATCGCTACCACAATCTGCTGGACGATGATCATGCCAGTAAGTACCTAAGACTTAATATGTTTTACTCTATAATGACAGTAGTAAGTAAGTAGTTATAATAATCTAATAATATTTACAATTGAATCCTGTTTCTTAAAAAAAGATATTGAAAATAAACAACCTCATTTCCTTTTGTTGTGAATGAGGTTTGATTAATATCGCAAGGGAAATATTAAGTGATGATTTAGGACTAACAAACGAAACTTAATATATTTTGTTATCTTCCTTGAAAACGATATTTATCCTTTTACATCATAGCAAATTTAAAATACGCGTATAAGTATATATTATATTATTGCAGTAGTCATCTTACTAAAGTGCTGTCTTTTCATTTTAGAACCATATAGATGACTCTAGAATAAAGAGACTGCCTGTACAGTATACTTGATTACGGAATTTGGAATGCAAAATTTGGCATTGTTATTTTCGGTTGCATTTGTAAATCAAAAACCTTCTGAAGTATTTTATATCACAAATATATAGTTTCTTTATATCGATCACGTTAACCGTAACTGACAGAATGTGTCCGGCCTGTTCACATATAGAAAAAGGAAGTTGATTTCAAATCGTGCTAATAAAGATTAAAAAAATATAAAAATCCAATTATCTATAAACATTAAACTGTTTCATTATTGCACAGTTTTCTCATGGGAATAATAAGATAGCGAAATACGAGACATAATTGTACTCCTAACAGAACGGGTTTTATTAAGAGAGCCATTTTGTTAAACCACAAGTGTATTGCCCTATAGTGTATCTTACGATAATAGGATTTGCCGTGGCTTAAGGAATTTATATAAAGCCAGAAAGATTAAGGCATCTGTTTCAGAACGCGGCAAATAAAAAAAACGAAGAAGCTTTGTTCTTATTATGACGCCAACACAGTCAACTCAAATATAATCTCAATAATACTGTGAATATAAGTAATACATCCGTTTAAATTTTACTAACAGAGCAGCGACCGCGACGGATTAAAACGAAATGATTTAATGGTTAGCAATAATGAATGTAAGCACGCCCCACTTCCGGTCAATGGAACAGTGATATCCGGTGTTTTGTGCGCAGGAAACGAACCCGCAACCGACGTTACGCTACAGTGGTTGAGATGGCGCGTTTGATAAAGCATAGCAAGCTGTTTATGGCATATCTGTTATAGATCTAGACAATGTATCTGATATGATTTCTTAAACGGTGTATTGTTGTTCAAACAAACATGATAAAGAAAGTATGAACATTTATTAGGTCGCAAAAATAATGTATAGATAATTTATATAGCGCTAATCTCCGGAACTGCTGGTTCGAATTTACCGAGTCCTACACCTCATCGCCGACTTTTTTCAACTTATTTAACCTCTCGCGCAGCTATTAAATTGTTTACAATAATTGTAATGAATTATAAATGTATGTTTTATTGTTGTTAAATATAACATCAATGTTTCTCTTTTAAATAAGACACTTTAACTCTCCCGTGACTCAGCTGCTGCAGAGCATCTAAAAGTCGGGGCGTAGTTAAAAATAATTTTCTAACAAGTTAAACTAAAATACTGATATCGACTTTTAAACAATTTGTGTTTCATTTCAATGTGTACTACTCGCGTTTTTGCTACTGTATGATTTAAAAAAAGATGTGGCTATTGTGTAAGCCTGCTTTGAACGCATTAAAACTTTTAGAAAGCTTTTCTGTTTGACTGTATTTAGGCATTTCTATTGCGCTATACAAGCTTCGTAACCTACATTCATTAGGTCTCAATGTATGTCGGTGGGTGAGTTTGCGTAATCAATTGATACAGCCTATTGTACCCAACAATTATCGTGTATTGTGACATTCTTTCACGATCATTATACGACTACATCAGTCAAGTACGTTTCTATCAACTGTCTGTAGTTTAAGCGAGTAGTACACATTGAAATAAAACACTTTAACGGTTTAAAACGCGATATATCAGTCAGAGACATCCATCTTTAGTCTGCAAAGCATCAGAAACGTGGGGCTGTATTTAAAAATAATTTTCAAACAAGTTTAACTAAAATATATCGTGTTTTAAACCGTTAAAGTGTTTTATTTAAAAGTGTTAAATACATTTTTACTTGCTTATATATAACATAGTACATATACATACTGCTTGTTAAGCTAGCGTATGTTCAATGACACCCACTTTCGACTTGAGCCATAAATAAGACTTTAAAATATACGTATTAATCCAAACTAAATTTAGTTACGTGAATTCCATATCTCTACTTTAATAGTGTCATACATCCAAAGCCAAAATAGTTCGACATCTTTAGATGTTATATGGTTGGGGTATTCCACCTACCTCCCCTCCGACCTCCTACCACCGACCTCCCCTGTATCATACAAAAAAATAAACCTGTGTACCCTTAACACAATAAAGTTAAGTATAACGTTCGTAATTCAAATTTGAACGTTATTAAAAAGGTAAATTCTAGAAACAAACAACACGCGTCCTTCATTATGCTAAAATGGCGCCGCACAGTTGTAATATGCATATCTATTGTCTATGATAGATTGCGTTTTACTAATCACTTACCATATAGAGGCGTTATTTGTTCGAGATGTGCATTTGAATAACTTTACCTCACTTGCGTCTTTATGCTAATAGTATTCATTCATTTCAAATGTATTAGTCAAAAGAGTGACCTAGAAGTTAAATAAATTTATACAATGCATACCGATATACATATGTATTTTGTATGTTAAAAAATTAAAAACAATGTTACAAAATTATTTTTACATATAGGTATTATCGGTATTTTAAATTGAGTTACACAGTAACTGATTTTTATTCTCTTCTTGAATTATATTGTTATTTTATTCAAATTGACTTGCTTGATTTGCATCAGTTTTATAAAAATATTAATTAAAATTTCTTTTACATATAAGAAGTGTCGAGTTATTTGTCATGTCTCTACTTCAATTGAATTTGTGTACCCGGTTAAAACAGTCAACGAATGTTTCAAAACACCAATGTACATAATCGTTCACAGGATTAGTTCAAAACTGTATGTAGTTTACGCAAGTAGCATACATTTAAATAAAACACTTCAACGGTTTAAAACGCGACACGCAGTAGTCATGGAGAGACACGGCTGTATTAAAAATAATTTTTAAATAAGTTGAATAAATATATATCGCGTTTTAAACCGTTAAAGTGTATTATTAAGAATTCGTCCAGAATGCAGCTGGTATTGAGTAATAGATGGTAGTAGTAAATTATGAATGGTTCTAGATCCGAAAGTGAATCAAATAGGTTGACTCACTCTTGCGGCGCAAGATCACAGGAATTTATCGTGGGCCAATATTCTAGTTCATTGACTCATAACATTGAATCGTAATTACTTATCAATATCTTTACGATATAAGGAATTTATTAAAAATTATCGATGGCTTAATAACATCCTTCGATTGGCTGTTTTCCTGTTGTTTTATTTTTGATGTTGAGTTATCGCGTGGAATTGAAATAGGTCAATTTTTGACCTTTACAATTCCAGCCGTTTTATATTGATCTAGAAATACAAAAAACACTAAAGTATATTTGCCAACAGACTATATCTATAAAATATTAAAGCTAGTATGATTTTGATTTTCAACTTTCCTTTAGTTTCTTTAACAGCTGTTCATTTAAATGTAATTAAACGTAACCCTCATTAGCTTAAATAATAATTATGAATTATTATAATGCTATCCCCCACTGTTTCTTAAGTTTTATATTTCACATTCCATAATTAAGGTTTTAGTGTTTCATTAGGTACTTTAATTTAATAGGAGCTGAAATGTTTAAATTACATTTTAGTAATAATAAAAGCTTTCCTGCGACATGTTTAATGACAGATATCGATCGACTAGTCTAAGCCTTCGTTACTAGCGTGCCTATTACGGTTGGCTGCAAGGTCGTCTAACTGCCTTATAAATAGACTGGGCTATGGTCGCACTGCATCTTTGAGATCCAATTTCTTTTAGTGCTTTAAGATAGATCGCTGTTCAATCTCTCATGTGAACTGTTAATATTCTTCTCTTACCTGGAACAGGCAGACGTGGTCTAATGTCTGTCTCACTATTCGATTTTGTTCTTCTGCCTTCTTTCAGAACCTCAGCCTCTTGATGCAATGCTCATCAAAGCTTTAACGTTTGAGCCAAAAAGATAACCATGTACAATTAATCGTTTTTATCGTGTACGAATACCTATGAACGAAAAATAGTTTATTCTCTTTAAAAAACAAAAATAATTACACTGTCCTGTACACAGTTCTAATGAGGTTATAAATTTCAATAGTTTATATTATCACCAAATGTTATTAACCTCGACCAATTTTGATGACACTACGTGAACTACAGCGTTCCGCCCCCCCCCCCCTTTTTCATCAATTATTGAGCATACATCATCATCAAATGTAACTCTTGCGCAGGTCATGTAAGTTTATATGCCTACTGTCTATAATACAAACACAAAGCAAATAGCTCTAGCTTGTGTATTTCGTCACAGTTGTTGAAACGTGAGCCTAATGTCTGCAAGACGAGATTAAGTAATTGCTTAGACCGGTCTAGAGAGCGTGCGAACCGTTAGCTGGTAGAAGCTAGAACCATACATTCAATTAGTACAGTTAGGTCTTTCGATTACACTTGGGTGTAAGGGTGGGTTTCGTTTTATATGATAATCAATAGGCATAAGCAAGTTTAAGCAGTTTATTATTGATGTATGGTCACAATGCTGTTTTAAACGACGGCAATGTTAAAAATGTACGTATTAACTGGCTTTAAAATAGATGTTTAAAAGATAGCAAAAAAGTGTCGTAACCGATTTTCATTTGTTTTCAATTTTCACGTGTCTGTAGGTCAAATAAGGAATATAAACTGTTGTGTTCACGTCTTAATGTTGACTGATCACGGTTCAGTAACTTCCTTAGAGAAGATGGGTAAAATATGTTACGGTTGCGTAGAAGAATTAACACTGAAAGCTATTAGGGAAAAGGGGCGTGTT